CTCTTGTAGCAGCCAGGTTTCTGTACGACAACACAAATCAGTTTGATTATCACAGATTAAGTCATTAGTTAACAGCATTTTTGAAGTAATCACTGAAAAACAGGTCCAACTCTCTAATCCATAATGGAAGATGCTGATGCCATTTGCACAGCTGATACTTCCCTCCAGGATGGCGTCACAGCTAAATAGAAACAGGCCAGATGAAGCTACTGTGAAGAAAAAAGCAGAGAGAATATAAAACTAGAAATAAAATGAAGAAGAAAGAGGAACAGTGGTTTCTATGTCCTCCAGCAGTTTAAGTCTATAGCAGCATATAAACTCAGGATCACCTGAGCCACTCTAAGTATTAATTTCCTAGTTGTGCACACAAAACCTGTGAAAATATGTCAGCTTCTACTGCTTTTGCTCGACAGATCAGGCAGACATTTCTCTAGAAATATGTGGCAAGCAAAAACAATTTCCATTGCAAGTGGAAAGTCCCACTACATCTGCAGATCTGATGCTTTTCTGGTTCACCTCTATATGGCAGACAAGGATTTTCTTCTGGCATCCCTGAATCCAGCAGATTCAACAGACACTCCCAGTTTGGGGGATCCAGGAGCAACTGGATCAGGGCCACTCTCTGTAGAGCTTAAGGTAAATTGAGATGGTGTTCTGGACAGGAGTTGCAAGGAAATCAGAACAAGAACCTCAGCAGCGAGAGCACCAGATCCAGGATGATGCCATAGTGGAGGAGAGAGAATGGCTGGCCAGGGTTCACCCCTGGAGGCTAAGGAGCAGAGTGGTAGATCGGAGAAGATGAGAGGTTGCATCAGCTGGGTGGTATCTAAGGGCACTCAGGGAGGTTCATGAATAATCTCTCTAGGGCTAAGCTACCTACAAATCTCTTAAAGGAATAGTACACCCAAAACATGATTAGCCTTCATTTTCTACTCACCCCCATGCTGAACAACACTCTGGAGTACTTTCTTGACATTCTAAATGACTTCGTTTCGAGTAAATTATGGACGCTACCCACTCAGGACACTTGGAATACATTGGACGAGCAGTATGGAGGAATATTGACACGTTTTTTGTGGACTTTTATGGACCTTTCTGTCTCGGGCGCCATAGACCTCCATTATTTGAATGTCAGCAGACAGCAAGAAGCCTCCCAGATCTCCAGATGCATTTGAGATATCAAAAAAGTACTCCAGAGTGTTGTTCAGCATGGGGGTGAGTTGAAAATGAAGGCTAATCATGTTTTGGGTGTACTATTCCTTTAAGAGCATCCCTACTTCAAAGTTTGTCAAAATTTTGATTGAGAAAAGCTTGTCTCCGCTGGACTCATTCATGCTACAGCACAGCCATATTTAGTCCCTGATTTATTGTTGCAATCCAAATCTAAACAAAAGTTTGAATTTTACAACTCCTTATGTACTTCACAGCTGTGCCGGCGCTCTAGTTTTGCAGTATTTGCCAAAGACATGCCTTTTGCATCGCTAGAATCACAACCTTTACCCATCTCCTAGAGCTCATGAGCCACCCTCTATATACGGATAAGATTTAAATCGCTCGCTTAGTGGAGGAAATTCGGGTTCGGTGTGAGCACACCTTTAGAAGACCGTGTCATACCTTTCATTGGGGTCAGCCATATATCCTCACAAAACTAAAAGTTTCTGGCCCCTCCTTGCTCAGACTTTCTCTCAGCAATTAGCTGAATCACTTTGAAGCTTAAACGCATTGCCAAAAAGTGGTGAATATTGTAAGTGCAGTTTAATATAATACAAGTCTGAACAATTTTGTCTTAAATTAATGAAAATAGTTCATTTAAATGTCTGCAGGCATGTTCAAAGTCGGTCCTCAAGGGCCGCTGTCCTGCTAGCTTTAGAGGTTTCTCTGCTTTAGCACAACTGATTCTGATGATTGCAGTTCAGCAAAATCTTGTTACTCAACAATCATTTAAAATCAGCTGTGCTGGAGCAGGGAAAACTCTAAAACAGGGGTGGGCAATTCCAGTTCCTGGGGGCCGGTATCCTGCAACTTTTAGATCCATCCTTTGTCCAACACACCTGAATCAAACGGCTGAGTTACCTCCTCAGTATGCAGTCTGTTCCTCCGGAGTCGTTTTAATCACCTAATTATCAGATTCAGGTGTGTTGATCCAAAAGCACATCTAAAAGGGACAGGCCCTCAGGAACTGGAATTGCCCACCCCTGCTCTAAAAGCTGCAGGACAGAGGCCCTCAACGACTGACTTGGGGTCAGTGAGTCAGAGATGACGAGACTAATGTTTGGTTTATTGAAAGGTTTTATCTGTCTGTGCAAATGTGTTTGGTTGACATTTAAGAACAGATTCCAATACCTCTGCAGTGTGGGACTCCAGGTATGCAGGGTTCCTTCTGGAGGACGCAGCTGCTGAAACTAAACGTACCAATAGAGTCTATAGGGTGACCAGACATCCTCTAAAATTCCATGATAATTTTCCCATTTTTTTATTTTTATTTTATTAAACTGAAATCTTTTTTATTTTCTTGTTTAAAATCTTTGTCTTGTGCAGGACTATAATGTCTCGTTTTAACATAGAGGGAGTCAAGAAACAACAAAGTTTATTTTAATTAATAACTCATTTTATTCACAGATCCAGACGGATACCAGCGTCTCATGCCATTTATCATTAAGTTTTAATACGTTTGTCTCCTGTTATAAATCTTACATTTACTATTTTTCTCCCATTCACCCATAATCAAATCTTAACCTAACAAAAGCACTTTGACAAAACTATGTTGCAGAGTAAAACATTGGTTTTAGTCTCTTTATATTAAATTGGACATGATGGGTAATGTTTATATTTGTTTCATTACATTTTATTGTTTTATTTAGCTATTTTTAAAACTTAGTTTCCATGGGCATTAAGAGGTAGTAAATATAACGCAGGAGTGGTAGGTGAGTGTGAGTTTAGTACTCCTTCACTCAGGGAAATAAAGGTAATCTAGTTAAAAATCTTAAAATATGTAGAGAATCCTCCACCTATTCCACATCAGGGATTCTTTGAAGCGCAGGAAGTTTTTGAATAAAAAAATCTATAGTATTTTTTTTGCTTGAAATTCATAAGCAAGCAATTATTCTAATTTAGAGTACAAGAAAAAACAAATAGTTAAAATCTTTTCCCTCGTTTTTCTGATCAGTGTGTGTGTTTTTAGCGTTTATAGGAATTGGGCGAGTACCAAATATTTCACTATTAGCCGACATAGCAAATTGTAAAGCCATAAGATACACAAAAGTACGGAAGAGAATTAGGGCCACTGAAAAAAATTTAAAAAAGGTTAACTTTTCTTTTAAAAATTCAGTATAATAGCGAAAAAAGTCAGAATTCTGACTTTTCTCTTATTATACTGAAATAAAATTAAAAAAAATCTGTTTTTTCAGTGACCCTAATCCTCTTCCGTAGTACGGCAGGCATGTTGAACAAAATAAAGAGAAAATACTTAAATGTATAGCCTTTGTATGGAAATGTACAAAGAAAGTGGCCTTTGTTTTGTTAATCTCAGAATTCTTGACTTTTTTCACAGAATTCTGACTTGTTTCTCACAATTCCTACTTTAATCTCAGAATTCTGACTTTTTTCTTAAACTTTTTATTTCAATCTTTGAATTCTGATTTTAATATCAGAATTGTGGATCTTAATGTAGATGGGCACCATGGAGGCAGACATGTGGGAGCACTCAGCTTCACTGACAAAGATGTGAGTTGTTTGAAAACACATTGGGCGATTTATTATGTGCCCGAGGGTCCCAGTGATGCTATTTCATTAATGGAAGAGGAGAAGGTAATTAAAATAAGAGAGCTAGTTTAGTCTTTAAACAGACGTGGCTAATGCTTGATGCTAACATGTTTTTTTTTATCGGTCAGAATTCTGTGAAAAAAGTCAGAATTCTGAGATTAAAGTCAGAATTCTTACTTTAATCTCAGAACTCTGATTTTAGTTTTAGAATTCTGACTTTTTTTTCCAGAATTCTTACTTCAAACTCAGAATTGAATACAGTCAGAATTCAGAGATTAAAGTCAGAATTCTTCTGCGCGCTCACGATCCAGCCCTCCTCTCTCGCCGCTCCACCAACTTGTCACCAAAGAGGGCGATTTGCTGAGTGCTCATGGATACACACATTTGTCGGTTAGCTGTTATCCGAACCAAAACGACAACTTGAAAAACAATATGTACCGACTCAATGGCTATGCTAAATAGTCTTCTAAGTGGAAAATCTGAAACTAGGCAAGATTTAATATTTGAAGTATTTCAAAATCTATTTAGAATAAGGCAGTTAAGAATACTAGTATACTTTCTCTGGGTGCCAGCACATGTGGGTGTAGATGGAAATGAGAAAGCGGACAAGCTAGCAAAGAAAGCATTAAATCAGCAGCAAATAGAAATGAATGTATTTTTAAGTAATTCAGAAATGAAAACATTGATTACAATTGAAACTCGAAAGAAATGGCAAACGATATGGAATAATGAGTCAAAAGGAAGACATTTATATCAGATTCAAAAGTTTATTGGAAAGGAGAGGAAAAGATGTGGAAATAGGAAAAAATATATAATTATTTCAAGGCTAAGAATAGGTCACACAGCATTAAACTACAGTCTTTTTAAAATAGGGAAACATGAAACAGGAAATTGTGACAAATGCGGAGATCCAGAAACAGTAAAACATATTATTTGTGAGTGTACTGCGTATGTAAAGGAGAGAATGAAGTTCATACAAGAGTTGAGAAAAATAGGGATTAATGGGAATTCAATAAAAGCACTGTTAGGAAACGAGATAAGACAAACAAGAGTTAATGAAATATTATTAAAATATCTAAAAGATACAGGAACTATTAATAGGATTTAGTTATAGGATTCTTTTTTCTTTTTTTTTTTCTTTTGGGTATAGCGCAGTCTTCCAAAATTGTGCACTCCACACTCCAGAGCAGTAGGTGGCGGAAATGCACCTTTTACGTTGGCCTGCCAATCCGCCATAAAACAACAGAAGAAGAAGAACTTGGAAAAACAACCAACTGCTAAGCGAAGCAACCATTTCTTCATTGGAAGGACGCCGGACATCGCTACCATGCTGATCAAGCTGAAAACGCTGCAGCTGCAGACTATTCAGATTGAGATAGACCCCGAACAAACGGTGAGTGGCTAGCTGCTAACTAGCATTGCTAACGGCAGGACGTGTTGCTGTGAAGCAAACAGCTTTAGCGTGAAGTTTAAAGCAGCGTGTTTTGGGAAAAGAGGCGCTTATACTGCAAACTGGCAGCTCTGCTTAAATCCTGAAACAACGCGACATCTCCGCTGCATTCGGGGCTAACGTTAGCCTGCTAATGTTGCTACCGTTAGCTTGAGAGCCCAACAACAAAGTCCCATAAACGCTACCGTACACTAGTCATATGACAATCTAAATTTGTCAGTCGGGCAAGGGTTGTTTGTTGCTTCCTTTATACCACCACCGACATAGTTTATTACCCTGAAAACTAAATAGTTTAGGGATGAAGGAGGGGGATGCTAATGCCAATGCTTATGACTCTGCCAATTACGGTTAGCTTGGCTGCTAGCTCAGTGGGAAGCTGTCTCAGTTTAACATGCTTTCTAATGTGGGGTGGATCATGTGAGCCAAAATGCTAAACGAGCTGCAGGTGTGACAGATCAACTGGGGACGAGATTAACTGGTTAGAATCTATGCGCACCGCAGATGTTGCTGAAGCTTAGGTTGCTGTGTTGATGCCTGGCGAAAAAATATTCCTAACGTAACAAAACTGTTCGCCAAAAAACAATCAACCGACATATCTAATGAATAAATTTCTGTTTTGTTTTGTTTTTTCAGATTAGAACGATGTGGTAAAGAACAGCAAAGCAGAATCCCACACAGAGAACAGCGTCGTTCACAAGTGTAAAGAAAAAATACAAATAAAAGTCTGTCTCACACTGGAGTGTCATTTCTCCTGTTGAACGATAAGCTATAAATGAAAACCTGTAGCTTGGACAATAAAGTCCGCCCACTTTATAAATTCCTGAATGTAAAATTATCCATTAATGAGGCCTGTCATTCAGAATGCACGTGTGTAAGCAGCACATTTTAAAGAAAAACTGACTGCAAACAGAACAATTGGGCTTCTCATCCTTCCAACTATTCCCACTTTATTTTTTGAATATTGACAAAAAGTTATTTTCTTAGATTCAATGCTCTCATATTTCCTTTATTCTCCTGTCTGGACACAAATACAAGTCTCTACTACGGTGTTGTTTTTTTTAGTGGATCCCAAAACTTTGTCCCGTTTGATGAACTGTATCAGGTCAAACACCTTTATTTTTATTGCTATTGTGTTCGGTCTGTTCACAATATCCAGTTATGAGACCATAACGGGCTGCTGCTGAGCTGGTTTTACTGCCCCATGTGTAAAAAGGGGTCAAATGTATTTACTTAGGCGCATTGCAGCTCATAGAATCTGAATCACATACCTGTTGATGCGGAAACTTTACTTTTTCTGTCTTCACAGTAGAATTTAAATCCCAGAGTTAGCGGCTACCGCTATGGGGTGGGTATGAGTCGCCATGACTGCTTTATGTTTTATCCTGTAGAAAAATGCAGATATTCTTAAACGAAGAACTAGATTAATTTGTGACGGGGTTCACAGCACAGCTGTTTGGAGAGATTAGTTGGCTGCGTGGTTGCCCGATCAAAATACCGCAAATGTAAACAAACGGGTCAGAATAAAGGTTATAATTTATCCTGGCCTAATATCTATTCAACACACGTCTGTAGTCTGTGGATAATGTGAAATATTATGAGTAATTTAAGTTTGGGGATCAAATAAACGCATCGTGAGGATCTGAAAGCGTCAGAATCTGCAGAGTGTCACAGATTAACTTGTGATCCAGCGGGATCTGGAGGAATATGGGCTGTAAAACACTCCATCTCCTGGGATGTTTGGATGTTATTATCTTATCCTCAATTAGGGTTGTAGCAGGCTACTTTAAATTTTTAACTGTTATTGTTGATTATTTTTCTTACCGCAATTACGAACCTGTCATGATGTGTGACCGTGTTAATGCTGTCAGCTATCATCGGCACATTATTTGTTTTGCATGCAGAACAACTTTAAATCATTCACGTTTTTCAAGTTACTGGCAATAGAGTAGGCCTATTGCTTCGTCTACTTTTTACTATTGGTCTAAATTGTTTGCTTCACTGGTACAATTAGAATGACAAAAAGCAACTCAGCACAAAACGCTGATTGCGAGGAAATGTTTGTCATTTCAGAGTTAGGAGATAATATTATCTTGCCCATCTGTGGAAAATCTGTTAAAATAAAAGGAGGGCATAATAGTATATGTGGGATCCAACCCTCGTTATTTTAGTTTGCAAAGCGTCTGTTTACCTGCTGAGCTATAGATACGAACACTCCATCTGACCCCACCTGCGATAATGAACCTGTTGTGTGTGTCTGCTTTGCCTGTTGAACAGTTGGTCTAGATCAACTGGTGACAGTTAATGTTTCAGAGTCCGCTGTTCGCTTAAAACATGTTTGAATTCCAGAATATCAGATATTATTACTATTTTTTCCTTCTTTACTCTAAAAACAGAATGGGGTCACCCCGTTAAGAGATAGTTAGACAGTAGGTTATGCTATGCTATTAAAAGAAAAAATAATAACCAGATCTTTTTTTTTTTTCGATCAGATATCTACCGTAAAATCTCCCTGTTTTATTTATTAATTGTTTGGCAGCAGTTAGCCTGGAGGCTGTGCTGCTTCTTTTAATGCTTTAGTACAGCAGGTTCTGCATTTGTTCACCCGATGCCCAAAATATCACATATATTCACACAATATATAAACTGAATTCAGAGATTTCACTCTTCCCCGCAGCAGTTATGTTATTTTGCTTTGTTCCTGCAACACATCTTAAACTTTAGAGACATGTATAACTCCTCTGGAAACGAGTTGGGCTTTAAGTAATTAGTTTCCCTCCATATAAACAGTCAGCGCTTTTGAGAAAAAAAAGAGGAACATTTTATTTTCGCTCGTTTTAATTTACAAGATATACAGGACGACAGAAAAATGCAGAAAAATACACCGTTAGTTGTTCCCATTGACCTTTTATTGCACTGGCTGTTTTTACTTCTCATACAGCTTTCTGTGGTTTTTCTACTCATTCTTTCTCTCATCGCTGAGGCTCTGAAACAAACAGATAAACAACAGGACAAGTTCCTCAAATCTCTGTGTGCGGGTTTGGAGAAATCCTTAAAACATGCTATATGTTTTCTTAATGCAATTAAATACCTTGCTGATGGTGACTCCTTAAGATCTCAACGTATTTCGCATCAATCAGATAACAAAATAATTTGTAGTTCTTGGAGTCTACACGCAGTTTACTTCCTGTTTGAGGCGAGGGGTCCTGAAAAGCCCCGCCCACAAACACATCTGCAAAAGTCAGCGGTTTTCCAGCTGCCGTCACCAGTTGATCTCCTCCCCAGTTGATCTGTCACACAGGCTTCTTAACTGCGGTGTGACACACTGACACTCCTAAACATTAGAAAATAACACAAAGGGAAAGACACTGGCTCAGATGGTGAGCAAACAAAAGTTTTTATCTATTAAACTCTGTTTATGTGTCTTAGAAATGGAGTTTTGCTGTTTGAAGAGGTTAGAACAGAATAATCCTTACTGTTTTGAAGTGCTGAAATTCACACATATAAGCAGCAAGTTGTGGTGAAAAGTCAACATAAAAGGGAGAAATGCTGTGTTTGAAAAATAAAATGTGCCACTAAGGTTGAAATGGACTGAATTCCTGTCTTGTTTGATGTATTTTGGCACAAAACAGACTAGTGATCAATTCTTTCACATTTCATTACTTTCCAAAGTATTTTACTTTTATTTAATGTCATAGAGCATTAAATTAACTTTAAAGTCTTAGAGAAATTCTATATAATTGTCAAATCATTCTGGCTTAAACATGTATATAAATCTACTCTTTATCAGACGACATTGTCCCAAAATTTAGAAAATTTTCATAAAAAAATAAAATAATCCTGTCTTAAAATCTGTGTTTTTTTTGTTTTTGTTTTTTTGTTTTCTTATGCAGGCCAGTTAGTTATACGTCAGCCTGTACACCTAAATTCGGCTAATCATATATCAACAGTCATCTGTCAATCAAATTTTTTCGGTCATCTTGATTCATATGTCGCAGCTAATATACACAATGATTGAAATAAGAATCATTTCCTTTCCCATGGAGTTCCGTCCCAGTGTTCACAGGGATGGACGTCTTTGTCTTCAGCAGGCGTAGAGCTAACAGAACTGGCAGCGTTGCGAGGCAAGGGCTCAAACATGTACGGCTGGAAGCCTTCTACACCAAACCAAGCTACTGCCGCCCTGGCGTCCTCTTCCACAACATCTTCATCCCCGCTTTCCTCCTCTAAATAAAAAATATATGATGGAGGAGACTCATCCACGACCTCCGACACTAAACTCTCCTCCTCTTGCATGTTTCCTCTGTCCATAGCGTTCCTTGACAGTGTTGTTTCTAAGTCACCAATTTAGTGCTACTTGGTCCCAATGGAATTTCCCATTGGGAACCTCCTAGCACTAAGTTGCTAACTGGTTAGCAAGATGCTTCCAACAAACCGGCTACAATCAAACTTGCTTGCAAACCTTCCATCACAACAATCACGCCCCCTTCATAAACGACCAATCACATTCACTTTATTTACTCGTGTAAAGTCCTGCACCACTCGGGAGAATACGGAAATGCAACAGTTTGAAAAGCCGCTTCCGTACGACTTAAAAGAATCTCTTGCTTTCCGATTGTTATTCGAATAATAATAAAAAAAAAGCTGTGGTCCTAGTTAGAATGACTCAGTCCAGACCTGAATTACCGATTGAATTGGCTAAATATCACTATATTTAGAAGAATTTCTCTCATTTTCCTTACTCAACACGGTTAGGGACAACTTCCTGTTGGTCTGCCACATAAAATGCATTTAAATGTGTTTCTTTAAAACTTTACATGCTTTAAAACATTTGTAGGACAATAAAGAATGACTAATCTTGTCACATGTTCTAGGAGCTAACACCAGCAAGCATGTCGACATGCTAACCCACATCATGTCCTCTGTTTTGTTCTCTCTATCAGGTGAAGGCCTTGAAGGAGAAGATTGAGGCTGAGCGGGGAAAAGACAACTTCCCCGCTTCTAGGCAGAAGCTGATTTATGCTGGAAAAATCTTGCAAGATGACACGCCTATTAAAGACTACAAAATTGACGAGAAGAATTTTGTGATAGTGATGGTCTCCAAGGTCAGAGCGGGTTTAAATCTTATTATTTATTTACTGCATCAGAGGATGGCTGTGTTCAAATGTTTTCCTCTTTCTTCAATTCCTATCATTTGAAGAGAGGTTAGCCTGCGTTTGCTGAGGTATTTCAATGCCTGAGGATAAAAAAACTGCTGTTTGAAGACATTGTTTTTACAGTCTGTTAAAGTATGGAGCACACGTTCATTATTGTACAGGTCAGAATAAAGTAAAACTAAAATAGTAAATTTGAAGAAAAAAATAGGTCAGAATATGTGTAGATAAAAGATAAAAAATTTAAATGATAGTCTATTGCAGTAATTTTCACAATGATTAAATAAATTACAAGGATCTGTGTTTGATTAATAATCTTCAATCTGTTTATTTTGCTAATCATCATTCAAAGATGATGAAGGGTCTGGTGTACCCCTTCTCACGTCGTCCCCTAGTAACACGTCGCCCCAGCATATACAAAACCAGAGGAAAGGGAAAGATGCAGCGGTTGATCCGAAAGCGCAATGAGCTGAGACGTCAACTTCAAGAGGCACGGGCGACCATAATCACCTTACAGGGGTTGCTGCAGCTGAAAGCTGATCAAGAGCGCATGGCTACTACCACAACATCTCAGCAGCTGCCGGGGCCACAGGCTCCAGGAAATACCAATGCAAGACCATCGGGATGATGCCTTCTAACCCCCAGGGAGCCCCGGGCTATTATTATTCTCAAACAACACTATACTGGATATAAAGGACTTTGCTGATTATGTATACCTAAAGGTCCTCATAAGTGTGCCAAGGTTTCATGACTTTCTCCATTTTATTACATTTTATCATGTAATCCTATCATCTATCACTCACTATTAGTATATGGTGTGTTCTAGTCTCACTCTTAGTTTTGATGTGCAAATATATAATCACCAGTTACTTTTGAGAGTTCACATTTGTAGTATTCCACTTTTGACAATCACCTGTAGATTCACTTTGTGATCCTTTTCAGGATCACATGGGGGAAATGTAGAGAATTAAAACTGCACCATGAATAGAATATAGTGGATAAATGTCTCACAATAAATATATTTGTGTTATAATGGTCAAATGGTGTGCATGGCTGTTTGAAGTCGAAGAAAAGTAATATGTGCATGGCTGTTTGAAGGTTGAGATAAGATTAGGAGGGATGAAGAGTGGTGTTGGAAAGAATCCAAGGCTCTGATGTTGAGTTGTATGCATTGGGAAAACCCAAGGATGAGTTATTTTGACATATCAAGGTTAAACAACAAAAGCTATACCGCTGTATGTTTTAATGGTCAAACATCAAAGTTATGTTTGATGTTTTAATGAAATTTTAAACATCAAAGTTATGCTTGATGAAACGTTGTCTTGACATATTAATGATAAACATCGAAGTTATCCTGATATGTGAAGTTTTTAATGAAACTACAATGTGTATCACCATGGCCTTCAAAGGGGCAAGGCTTTGATTAAATTATATAAATTGTACTTTGGGGGGTTTCCACCGGGGGCTCAGGGAATGAATAAAAGCGGGACTGTTTCTGTATGATATTCAGATGTGCACCGGTGAACATCTCAGGTGGTTGACTTGTACAATAAACCACTCTGGACCTGACCCAGCTGCCTCTGTTTTTGACCAGTTGTTTGAAGATTTTTCAACTGCTTTTAAAGAACTTTGAATTTTTATAAGACTTAGCATAAATTTTTACGTCGTTGGGAGGACATTCCACGACAGGTGACCAGACATCCTCTTAAATTCCATGATAGCCCCCCATTCCGTTGCTTTAGAAGCACTTCAAGGTATTCCCTACTGTGGAGCAGTAAAAGTGTTCCCTGCACTGAAAAAAAAAATGCAACCGCTTTTGGCATTTACTTAATCATATACTTTAACACAATTGTTTCATGTTAGCAGGGTAGGATGTAAAACAATTGTGTTAAAGTAACTAAATATGATTAAGTAAATGCCAAAAGCGGTTGTATTTTTTTCTGTGTGGGTACATTTGCAGCAATTGTTCAATGTGTAGTAGTAGCAGCACTTCTATATATAGATGCACGGTGGCGCCATCTGCAGGTAAGTATAAGGTAAAGACACAACCGCCACATCCGAAGATCTGATGAGAGCAATTATAAGCAAGACTTATTTACCACAATGCCTGAAAAGATTTTTCACATTCAATAAATATTTAGAAAAGTATTAATACTTTAAAATTTATATGATACTAAGAATCTTCACCAGTAAATTTATGATATAATATTAATGAAATAAGAAATGTCTTTTTTATAGCAAAAGTGATACATGAATTAAATTAATTTTACACATGAATCGTAATTTTGGAGTCAAAGATTGGGAATTTATGAAGAGATCTTCCAATTTGGGCCAATTTTCCCATTTTTATTTTTATTTTATTTTATTAAACTGAAATGTTTTTTATTTTCTTGTTTAAAATCTTTGTCTTGTGCAGGACTATACTGTCTCGTTTTAACATAGAGGGAGTCAAGAAACAACAAAGTTTTTTTTTTATTAATAACTCATTTTATTCACAGATCCAGACGGATACCAGTGTCTCATGCCATTTATCATTAAGTTTTAATACGTTTGTCTCCTGTTATAAATCTTACATTTACTATTTTCCTCCCATTCACCCATAATCAAACCGTAACCTAACAAAAGCACTTTGACAAAACTGTTGCAGAGTAAAACATTGGTTTTAGTCTCTTTATATTAAATTGGACAGGATGGGTAATGTTTATATTTGTTTCATTACATTTTATTGTTTTATTTAGCTATTTTTAAAACTTAGTTTCCATGGGCATTAAGAGGTAGTAAATATAACGCAGGAGTGGTAGGTGAGTGTGAGTTTAGTACTCCTTCACTCAGGGAAATAAAGGTAATCTAGTTAAAAATCTTAAAATATGTAGAGAATCCTCCACCTATTCCACATCAGGGATTCTTTGAAGCGCAGGAAGTTTTTGAATAAAAAAATCTAGTTTTTTTTTTTTTTTTTTTTGCTTGAAATTCATAGAAACTTAGATATAAGCAAGCAATTATTCTAATTTAGAGTACAAGAAAAAACTGTTAAAATCTTTTCCCTTGTTTTTCTGATCAGTGTGTGTGTTTTTAGCGTTTATAGGAATTGGGCGAGTACCAAATATTTCACTATTAGCCGACATAGCAAATTGTAAAGCCATAAGATACACAAAAGTACGGAAGAGAATTAGGGCCACTGAAAAAATTTTAAAAAAGGTTAACTTTTCTTTTAAAAATTCAGTATAATAGCAAAAAAGTCAGAATTCTGACTTTTCTCATATTATACTGAAATAAAATGTAAAAAATCTGTTATCTTTTTTTCATAATTTTTTCAGTGACCCTAATCCTCTTCCGTAGTACGGCAGGCATGTTGAACGAAATAAAGAGAAAATACTTAAATGTATAGCCTTTGTATGGAAATGTACAAAGAAAGTGGCCTTTGTTTTGTTAATCTCTGAATTCTTGACTTTTTTCACAGAATTACGACTTGTTTCTCACAATTCCTACTTTAATCTCAGAATTCTGATTTTAATCTCAGAATTGTGGATCTTAATGTAGATGGGCACCATGGAGGCAGAGATGTGGGAGCACTCAGCTTCACTGACAAAGATGTGAGTTGTTTGAAAACACATTGGGCGATTTATTACGTGCCCGAGGGTCCCAGTGATGCTATTTCATTAATGGAAGAGGAGAAGGTAATTAAAATATGAGAGCTAGTTTAGTCTCTAAAACAGACATGGCTACTGCTTGATGCTAACATGTTTTTTTATCGGTCAGAATTCTGTGAAAAAAGTCAGAATTCTGAGATTAAAGTCAGAATTCTTACTTTAATCTCAGAACTCTGATTTTAGTTTTAGAATTCTGACTTTTTTCTCAGAATTCTTACTTCAAACTCAGAATTGAATACAGTCAGAATTCAGAGATTAAAGTCAGAATTCTGAGTTTCCCCCCATATTATGCTGATATAAAATGTAAAAATCAGTTAACTTTTTTATCTTTTAAATGCTATAAATGTAGTTATTTTCTCTTTATTTCTTTTAACACGTCGGTCTCCGGTAACTTTTTGCATAAATAATATTTTTTGTGACGCGCTGCCTTCATCGTCGCGTGCTTCTGCGCGCTCACGATCCAGCCCTCCTCTCTCGCCGCTCCACCAACTTGTCACCAAAGATGGCGATTTGCTGAGTGCTCATGGATACACACATTTGTCGGTTAGCTGTTATCCGAACCTAAACGACAACTTGAAAAACAACCAACTGCTAAGCGAAGCAACCATTTCTTCATTGGAAGGACGCCGGACATCGCTACCATGCAGATCACGCTGAAAACGCTGCAGCAGCAGACTATTCAGATTGAGATAGACCCCGAACAAACGGTGAGTGGCTAGTTGCTAACTAGCATTGCTAACGGCAGGACGTGTTGCTGTGAAGCAAACAGCTTTAGCGTGAAGTTTAAAGCAGCGTGTTTTGGGAAAAGAGGCGCTTATACTGCAAACTGGCAGCTCTGCTTAAATCCTGAAACAACGTGACATCTCCGCTGCATTTGGGGCTAACGTTAGCCTGCTAATGTTGCTACCGTTAGCTTGAGAGCCCAACAACAAAGTCCCATAAACGCTACCGTAAACTAGTCATATGACAATCTAAATTTGTCAGTCGGGCACGGGTTGTTTGTTGCTCCCTTTATACCACCACCGACATAGTTTATTACCCTGAAAACTAAATAGTTTAGGGATGAAGGAGGGGGATGCTAATGCCAATGCTTATGACTCTGCCAATTACGGTTAGCTTGGCTGCTAGCTCAGTGGGAAGCTGGCTCAGTTTAACATGCTTTCTAATGTGGGGTGGATCATGTGAGCCAAAATGCTAAACGAGCTGCAGGCTTCTTAACTGCGGTGTGACACACTGACACTCCTAAAGATTAGAAAATAACATAAAGGGAAAGACACTGGCTCAGATGATGAGCAAACAAAAGTTTTTATCTATTAAACTCTCTGTTTATGTGTCTTAGAAATGGAGTTTTGCTGTTTGAAGAGGTTAGAACAGAATACTCCTTACTGTTTTGAAGTGCTGAAATTCACATATATAAGCAGCAAGTTGTGGTGAAAAGTCAACATAAAAGGGAGAAATGCTGTGTTTAAAAAATAAAATGTGCCACTAAGGTTGATATGGACTGAATTCCTGTTTTGTTTGATGTATTTTGGCACCAAACAGACTAGTGATCAATTCTTTCACATTACATTACTTTCCAAAGTATTTTACTTTTATTTAATGTCATAGAGCATTAAATTAACTTTAAAGTCTTAGAGAAATCGTATATAATTGTCAAATCATTCTGGCTTAAACATGTATATAAATCTACTCTTTATCAGACGATATTGTCCCAAAATGTAGAAAATTTTCATAAAAAAAAAAAAAAAAATCCTGTCTTAAAATCTGTGGGGGTTTTTTCGTTTTCTTATGCAGGCCAGTTAGTTATTGTCAGCCTGTACACCTAAAGTCAGCTAATCGTATATCAACAGTCATCTGTCAATCAAATTTTTTCGGTCATAGCATCTTGATTCATGTGTCGCAGCTAATATACACAACGGTTGAAATAAGAATAATTTCCTTTCCCATTGAGTTCTGTCCCAGTGTTCACGGGGATGGACGTCTGTGTCTTCAGCAGGCGTAGAGCTATAGGAACTGCCAGCGTTGCGAGGCAAGGGCTCAAACATGTACGGCTGGAAGCCTTCTACACCAAACCAAGCTACTGCCGCCCTGGCGTCCTCTTCCACAACATCTTTGTCCCCGCTTTTCTCCTCTAAATAAAAAATATATGACGGAGGAGACTCATCCACGACCTCCGACACTAAACTCTCCTCCTCTTGCATGTTTCCTCTGTCCATAGCGTTCCTTGACAGTGTCGTTTCTAAGTCACCAATTTAGTGCTACTTGGTCCCAATGGAATTTCCCATTGGGAACCTACTAGCAGCAAGTTGCTAACTGGTTAGCAAGATGCTTCCGACAAACCGACCACAATCAAACTTGCTTGCAAACCTTCCATCACAAAAATCACGCCCCCTTCATAAACGACCAATCACATTCACTTTATTTACTCGTGTAAAGTCCTGCACCACTCGGCAGAATACGGAAATGCAACAGTTTGAAAAGCCGCTTCCGTACGACTTAAAAGAATCTCTTGCTTTCCGATTGTTATTCGAATAATCAAAAAAATAAGCTGTGGTCCTAGTTAGAAGACTCAGTCCAGACCGGAATTACAGATTGAATTGGCTAAATATCACTATATTTAGAAGAATTTCTCTCATTTTCCTTCCTCAACACGGTTAGGGACAACTTCCTGTTGGTCTTTCACATAAAATGCATTTAAATGTGTTTCTTTAAAACTTTACATGCTTTAAAACATTTGTAGGACAATAAAGAATGACTAATCTTGTCACATGTTCTAGGAGCTAACACCAGCAAGCATGTCGACATGCTAACCCACATCATGTCCTCTGTTTTGTTCTCTCTATCAGGTGAAGGCCTTGAAGGAGAAGATTGAGGCTGAGCGGGGAAAAGACAACTTCCCCGTTTCTGGGCAGAAGCTGATTTATGCTGGAAAAATCTTGCAAGATGACACGCCTATTAAAGACTACAAAATTGACGAGAAGAATTTTGTGGTAGTGATGGTGTCCAAGGTCAGAGCGGGTTTAAATCTTATTTATTTACTGCGTCAGAGGATGGCTGTGTTCAAATGTTTTCCTCTTTCTTCAATTCCTATCATTTGAAGAGAGGTTAGCCTGCGTTTGCTGAGGTATTTCAATGCCTGAGGATAAAAAAACTGCTGTTTGAACAGTCTGTAAAAGTATCGAGCACACGTTCATTATTGTACAGGTCAGAATAAATAAAGTAAAACTAAAATAGTAAATTTGAAGAAAAAAATAGGTCAGAATGTGTGTAGATAAAAGATAAAAAATGTAAATAATAGTCTATTGCAGTAATTTTCACAATGATTAAATAAATTACAAGGATCTGTGTTTGATTAATAATCTTCAATCTGTTTATTTTGCTAACCAGTATTTTCATTTTAGTTTACAGATTGAATGTTTGCTGATTTTGTTTCATTTTTTTTGTTTTATCACCATTTGGGCTCAGTAAAACTCTAAACTCACCTCCGTTTCTTAGATAAAGTCCAAAATCTAGCTGCAAATATTGAGCACATTCTGCTTTAAATGTTCTTAGAGTTTACATTCCTCTCTTGAAAAGTTAAAACATTCGAGGTTTAAAAACCTGCCTTATCTAAGCTTTTCTAGATTCCTCTAAACTAGTGAAACTACCTCATACCATCCTCTGGCGCTTATGTGGGGAATGTACAAGAAAGACCCGACTAATATTCAAATTGGGGTTGCTTCAATGCCATTTTTTAGCCCCAATACCGATACCATCTGTTTGAAATTTGATGTGACTCCTATGTCAGAGGATGAAGAGAGCACATCCAGCCAGTCACGGTCAGAGAAACAGGACTACACTGGAAAAACAGGCTGATCTCCAACATCTATAAACAAGACTGTTGATGGCAGCAGAACAGCTGATATTTCTCTCCAGGATGGAGTCATAGCCAATAACCATTATACTGATAACACTATTTTAGTGCTGGATCGGTGCAACACTAATTGAAACCCATTCAAAGTAAAAAGAAAGAAATAACAGGAAATTCAGAAATTTGTGTCTGGAAAAGCTAATTTTTTTTGTGCCCAAGATTTTTGTAGAAACTACAGATGCACTGATGCGTCGTCTGGCTGATATTGTAGGCGGACGTTAATGCAGATATTAGCTGATTCATGGATGCATTCAGCAGCCATGCATCACTGCTACCACCATTTAATAATCAATGCTTTGATTTGTGTAGCATTTTCATAATCATTGTCTCTTTTTTTCCCCACATATGGTGGATCAGTTAGACTGGTGTTAAAATAACCGCTGCTGGTAACTCTGGTAAAAGACGGCCGCTGACCCCCAGAGCTCTTTACCTCTAACCCTCTTTCACTGTGTTTGAATTTATAAAGGTTAAACCTGCAGCTCCAGCCTCTCCGCCAGTCTCAGAAGCACCCAAGCCCCCCGTACAAGACTCTGGCTCTACTTCAACACCCGCCCCAGCTACAAACCCCGCTCCAGCCCCGGCCCCAGTCCCGGCCCCTGCAGCTGTCCCCATTTCTTCAGAGGAGGCCAAACCGGAGCCAAATACTGCAGCCACAGAACCACAGCAGCCAGCCAGGTATACCCTGCTCCAGCATGCAGAGCTCTGCTAAACTCTCAGGAAACCAGAAGAGGATTTTAGACCAGTTCAAACCCGTTCTGATTACTAGTAATTCCATTCTGATATGGGTCTGACAGCAGAATTGATTACTGTTTGGTTGTCCGTTGCAGGAGTTCAGCTCGCGCTGTTTTATAGCAGCTGCTAGGTTAGTCTGAAAAGTCACTAAATCAATGAGCCAATGAGCGGCAATCAACAAGGAAGGAATCAACAAATCAAACTTGATTTTAGATCTAATATAAGCTGATTCTTGAGCAGCTGGAAACAATACGGGGTGAATGTTGTTCAACTATTTTTGCAAACATAGGAAACGTTTGGTAGATTGAAATATAGAAAGAAATTAATACAGAAATGGAAAAACTTCTCATTAAAAAAATGTAAGAATGTTTTTCTAAGATTTTATTGAAACGTTTTTTTTATTCATTTTAAATAGAATTTTGTAATTTTTTTTTTCTTAATAGATTTTATATTTTAGAATTTCTGTGATTCAGATAGAATTTTATGGAAAATTTTAAATTAAATTTAGAAGAAAAAGAAGTAATTAAAAATATAACATTGTGAAAATATAAATAACAGAAAAGTTTTTCTAAAAAGTTTTTTTTTTTTTTGTTAAAATGTTTTTTTCAGATTCCTTCCCGGATTCCATTTTTTCCCCTTTTTTCATTTTTTTTCCCACATTCCTTCCTGGATTCCCCTTTTTTTATTTTTTATTTTTTTTATTTCTTTTTCAAATTCCTTCTTTGATTCAGTTTTTTCCATTTTTTTTCTTTAAAATTTCTGTTAAGAAACGTGTTCTTTGCCTCCACCAAAATTCACCCCGCGATAGATAAAACCCTAAATCAGACCTTTTCTGCTGTCATAGTTTATTTTTTAATTCTAAGTAGTAGTTTTAAAAATCTATTTTTCTCAACACTAAGAAACGTTGCAGTGTTTGTGGTTTTTATATGTGGCGTAAAACATAATTCATCCCGTCATCAAAGAGCAACAGTTATTTCCTTTCCTGCTAAAATGTGGCATTGTTCTAGTTATAGTTATTTGATCAATAACAGTTTGATGCTCTTCAAATATTTATCACACAGAATATTCCCAGTTTTCATAGTTCTGGTCTCTATAGAGAAACATAAGTCCAACTAGCTGCTATGAGAAGGATGTTTGGTCAGTCAGCTGCTCAGCAGACGAGCCTCATGGCTGCCAACAGCAGCAGGGCTTTAAGGGGCAGAGTGGCTCCTCAGTTTCCAAAGCCACACCTGTCCTTGTTTTTCAGCTCCGGACGTTTTTATAGAGGATTGATTTCATCTTCCTAGAAGAGGAGATAAGGAAATCACATTGTGTCAGCCAGCTGACGGGCAGTGCTCAATAACCCGCGCAGCAGTTGGTGGTTGTCTTATCTGCTGCTCCTCAAGCGGAAAACTGAACTGGTAGTTCGTCTGTCATCCAATCAGAGAGCAGAGGATAGCGGCGAAATACTAATCAGACCTGATAAAGTTTTTCTCTGCACATCGATCACTGATCCTGCAGCAGAGCCAGATCCACTGATCTCAGAATTTAAAATCCTTCCTCTACGTTTGGATTTTTGTTCTCTGATCTCCTGGAAGTTTGTTTTATGCGTTTCTCTACTGCTGGTCTAAAAATACTCATCCATCTCATTACAGTTATAGTCTAAAAATGTCCTGGAGACGGTGACATCTGCTAAAAATATTCCACATTCTTTTCCACTGATCTTAGACTTTTTTCTTTTGCTCTGACTGATCAGTCATGTTGACAGATTGAGGTGAAGGTTTAACATGGTTGCTTCTCCTTTGTTCTGCAGCTCCAGCGGTGGGAGTCAGGGTCTGGACGCCTCCTCGACGCTCGGTGAGTAAAACACCCGTTTTTTTTTTTGTGACATTGTTGGCTGCAGCTGTTCCTGCTGTCAGTCCTGACTGCGCTGCATACCGCTGCTATGTTTAGAGGATGACAAAAGCGAGCCCTTCCTTGTTGTGGTGTCACAGAGAGTGATGGGGGGGATTCCCGTATCATCCGCTGATGGTACGCGCTGGGCTAGAGAAGGAAGTGGTGTCTGCCGCTCAGGCGTCCGTCAGCGAGGAGCCGAGTAGCTGAGGTTTTTCTCTCTACTAGAACTGGAGTCGCTTTAGAGCTACTGATTAAAAACCATCAAACTAACAGCAGACGTATTTAAGGATTTTGTTTTTATAATAGTTCATTTAAAGCGAGGAGAGATTAACACGTCTATCTGCGTTCACTGCGACACGCAGACGACCTGCTTTCTGAGTATAAATCAGCCTTATGACATGAAGACTGCAAATAATACAGAAATTCAGCTTTGGTTTTATTGGTTTAATTTCTGCTCTAAGCAAGTTATCCTTTTAGCTGTTTTAAGGATTTTATTCTTAAATTGACAATAACAGTAGCAGCCATTCAAAGTGGCCACCTAAATAGCAGCTCACCTCCATGCATCTCCCAACAGAATCCCCTCCAACTTCCAGCCACTGCAGTAACCCCACCCCTTCCCCTGGGTGTGCATATATATTTACTGACTCCCCCCTTTCACTGAGTTACAGGGTCTGACCAGGAGATTATGCTTCTCTTTAGATCTTAATGTCCACAAATCATAGGCAGAAAGAATAAGAATCTTTTAGTACAAAGATTAATGTTTAAAAAGGAATTGTAGGGGACCAGCCAAGGATCCATCAAGGAAAGTGGAGAAATTTTGAATGGCTGCTACTTTATCTCAATAACAATTCCAGTTCATTGTTTCAACCATGATTTGGTTGTGTTTTGCTGTGTTTTTGTTCCAATAGCTTGAAGACCTGAAGGGAAATAGGACTCAAGTTTGGGTTATGCTTGATATAATCCATGCAGAAACTTAGCTGCCCGTCACAGCGTCTGCAGCGTCTATACTTTCCCGCATTGTTGCCATAGAACCAGGGTCAAATCTAAAGCACCAAAGCCAGTGCTTTACCAGTTGGTTCCCTGTTTATTTCCAGAAGAGCTTTCAGGTTTACTCAGTCGGGAAGTCTTTAGATATTTGAGCTATTTGTTTTTGTTTTTTTTATTTTCTTTTTTTGTTTATTTGTTTTTTTGCTGAACTGAAACTTACAATGGAGTATTAGCGCCAGGCTAGAGATCTTTTTTCTTCTATTTTGAGAATAAATTCATAAAATTACAAGAATAAAGTCAGACGAGAATAGGGATAAAATTATGAGAATAAAGTCCTAAAACTAGCAGAAAGAAGTTGTTTTATGACAACTCTTACAAGAAGATCTTTCTGCCCTAAAATGAGGAATGTGGAGCATCATGTGAAGTTATACTTTGGCACCGGTTTGACAAACAAGGAAATCTTTTAGCAGCAGCGTCTAATTGGGCAGTACGTCAAAGTGAACTTGTTATGTTGCGACTTTATCCTCGTAATGTTGCGACTTTATCCTCGTAATGTTGCGACTTTATCCTCGTAATGTTCCGACTTTATCCTCGTTATGTTGCGACCTTACCCTGGTAATGTTGCGACTTTATCCTGGTAATGTTGCGACTTTATCCTGGTAATGTTGCGACTTTATCCTGGTAATGTTGCGACTTTATCCTGGTAATGTTGCGACTTTATCCTGGTAATGTTGCGACTTTATCCTGGTAATGTTGCGACTTTATCCTGGTAATGTTGCGACTTTATCCTGGTAATGTTGCGACTTTATCCTGGTAATGTTGCGACTTTATCCTGGTAATGTTGCGACCTTACCCTGGTAATGTTGCGACTTTATCCTGGTAATGTTGCGACTTTATCCTGGTAATGTTGCGACTTTATCCTGGTTATGTTGCGACTTTATCTCCGTCATGTTGCGACTTTATCTCCGTCATGTTGCGACTTTATCTCCGTCATGTTGCGACTTTATCTCCGTCATGTTGCGACTTTGTCCCCGTCATGTTGCGACTTTGTCCCCGTCATGGTGCGACTTTGTCCCCGTCATGGTGCGACTTTGTCCCCGTCATGGTGCGACTTTGTCCCCGTCATGGTGCGACTTTATCCCCGTCATGTTGCGACTTTATCCCCGTCATGGTGCGACTTTATTCTCAAAATAAAAAAATAAATAAATCTCTTGCCTGGCCCTAATACCCCATCATAGAAAGTAGTTGAAATCTAATAATAAAAGGTTTTTAGAGTATCTTCATTCCGTTTCTCTGAATTTGTTACATTTTTATCACATTTAAATGTAACTTTTTTTACACATATAATTTAATATTTTTTAATCTCTTTTAGGTGCAATTTTTCTTTTTCAAATTTCTGTTTTTCAGATTTTTACAAATTAAGTTTCACAGATCTAATTCTCTTCACTTCTAGATGTGATTTCAATCGTCCAGCAGGCCAATTAAAAAGCATCTTTGCTCCCTGCTACAGAGAACATCCACAAGAAGTGAGGGTCTGAAAAATACAATTTAAAAGAATAAAGTCAATAAATCTCACTCTGAACAACAGAATTTTGAAGAAAATTCTTCAAAAAATTAAATCTCTTAAAACATTGGTTAAAAAAAATAGAGAACTGCATTTGTAAAAAAACAGAATAATAATTATACATTTTGAGAAAAAAAAACTTAGAAAACAAAAAAGCTGCTCTCTACCTTTGTTTTTTTTTTTTGTTATTTCAATTTACAAAAATGGTAAAGTTTCCATTTACAAAGTGCGTTCTTTGCAATAATGAAACAAAATACACTCCATACAGATGTTCAGATGGATTTAGGTCTGGACTTTGACTAGGCGATAAATTTCATATCTTTTGTTTTCTTCCATGAACTATCTGAGTGTATTTTCCTCCATCTTCCCAGCATCATGCTGCCACTGCCGTGTTCCACAGTTGCGAAGAATGTGTTGATCTTTATACTTTTCTTCTCTCACCTTTTACAGCTAATATTATCCAGAAGCCTTTTATAAAACAAACGCATCAGATTCATAGATGAATACAAACAAGCAGCTGCTTCATGATGAATACTTAGTATTTAGCGGTTTAAAGGAATGAGTATTTTGTGTTATTGTCAGTCAGCCGTTTATTGTTTGGTTTCTGCAGTCGTGTCTGACGTGTTTTCTTGTTTACAGTGACCGGAGCCGAGTACGAGGCCATGCTGACAGAGATCATGTCTATGGGCTACGAAAGGGAGCGAGTGGTAGCTGCACTACGGGCCAGTTTTAACAACCCTCACAGAGCCGTGGAGTACCTCCTCACTGTACGTCCATCTCTGTTAGCTTTTAAGGAACAGCTGGAAAGTCAAACTTTTTTTCTGACCTTGTTAGAAGTCAGATAATTATGAAGAAACAAAACTTCATGGCGTCGCCAGGAGTCAGACTCGCTTCATTGGTTTCTGTTAGAGTTGACCTTTTAAAACGTGACATTTCTGTCTTAGTGTGTTAAAAGAAGCTGTTCATATTTGAGGAATCTGTTTTTGTTTGCAGGGAATCCCCAGCAGCCCGGTTCAAGAGAGTAACCCACCGGCCCAGGCCCCCACATCCGGCCCCACAGAGCCCCCGTCTCTAGCAGAAGGTAGGGGCCCCTCACTGTGACGCTCTGATCAGACTTTGAAAAAGGAATATTTCAATGGATCTCCGCCTCACCGAGGGGGCTGAAAACCCAAGATATTTACTGGAAACTAGCGAACAGAAGCAATGAGCCCGTAATCAGTCAATAAGTTCACTGGCCAATATTCTTATCGGATTAAAAAATTAGAATAGAAGGATTTTTTTTTTCCAGTTTCCTGGATTAATGGCTTCATCTCAGACGGCCTGTCACTACCAGATCCATTATCCATACGGCGCTCCTGGTTCTCTCCTGGTCCCACCGCAGCCGTGTTAAAGGGGAATTTCATTTTTTTTTTTTTTTTTTTTACATTGGTTCTTTGATTTTGCGTTATTACATGATGTTCTACTCAACCATATCAGTTTTGTGTCATTTGGAGCTGTTCTGAAGATATTCGGTTAGGTTATATCCAAGTAATGTCTTCCTATGGGCAACGACTTGAAGGCACAAACTGAACTGTTCATAATTTATTCTTTATGGTACGCCAACATGTAGGCGAATTGCTGTCCCAGTGAAACAGTGAAACCCAGACATCTGTAGTTATATTTTTTATATTTCTAATTTTTTTAAACAAAGTGGCGCATGTATGACGTCATCTGCGCACCTGAATGGAGTTGTTTTTTTTTTTTTTTTTTTTTTTTTTTTTTTTATTTAACCAATGTACATTACACCAGGCGGCTACGCTCTACCCCTTCTATTCATTCTAGCTAATCTGAATCGTTCAATTCCATTTGGAGAGCGAGATCTTCTGTAGTAGTAGCACTAGGCATCTTCCAGGGATGGGAGTAAAACTAGCAGCAGTTCAGCGGACAGGAAGAATGAACGGTAGCCGGCGTGCGCGGATGACGTCATACACACTCTGCTTTGTTTTTAAAAAATAGAAATATAAAAATATAACCGCGGATGTCTGGGGGACAGTGATTCACCTACATGTTCTGAATGCTGGCGTACCATAAAGAATAAATTATGAACAGTTTAGTTTGTTCTTTCAACTTGTTGCCCATAGGAAGACGTTACTTGGATATAACCTAACTGAATATCTTCAGAACGGCTCCAATTTACACAAAACAAATCTGGGTGACTAGAACATGATGTAATAACGTAAAGTCAAGGGCCTAATGTAAAAAAAAAAACAGCGTTCCCCTTTAAAGCTACAGTGTGTAATAATTACAGGGATATACAGTCAGAAATGTAATATATTATACATAACTATGTTATTTATCATCATCTACGAGCTCAGCCTCTTAACCTTAATATTTGCGTTGCCTTAGAATTCGTTATTTATAATTACATAGGAGCAGGTCTCGCAGCCATGGAGGCAGACATCTTTGCGCTACGGCAGCGCAGAGGCAACAAACTAGTGATTGCGAGATCGCCAAAACGTCACAACGATGTAGAAAAAATTACGGTTATATTTATTATCTTAAGTCTACATGAAATCTATACCCTACACAGACTAATGAAATACTATGTGTAAAATTATCTATGTAAACAAACCTCATCACTTGAGAAGGTAGGTGATGCAGACGTCGTGGAAGACATTTTGTCCCGTAACGCTCGCCATACTGTTGGGGGGGAGAAGCGGTGGGGGGGAGATGTTCATGTTGCTGCAGTCTGACCGCTAGATGTCGCTAAAAGTTACACACTGTAGCTTTAAGGATCTCTGTGTCTGAACGCTGATACTCTATCTTTCTGGTTCTTTTTCCTGAAAAGAGATCCCTCGGGACAAACTCTTTAAATAACACTTCATAACTTCTATGTGTTAAATAACCAGGAGACGTGACGACAGATTTTGATAGAAATTGTAATCTTACTTAGATCAGAGAAATTGCTTCGAATATACAGAAGGTTGCTGCTCCCCCCTGGGCTCACCTCTCAGGAAGTGGCCGCGATTTATAGTTAAAAACGCATTTTATTCATCTCCAGTCTGCCACGTCATCTTATTTTACATCATTCACTTTAGCAGATTACATCCATGACTCCAGCCTTATCAAAATATTACACTTTGTTCTCAGCTGAAGGACGCCGCTCTCATTCCATTCCCAAACCTTTGCCACGTACAGAATAAAGATTATAACTGTATATCCAGACAGAGAAACCTAGTTGGATCAAAACGTCAGTTCTGACAGCAACTGGCAGCCAATACCAGGATGTAATAAACTCACACATCTTCAAAGATAATTACCCTAACGGGCCGATTTGATCAGCGTTCAATAATCAGTCTTATTGCCTGACGTGTGAATTACTGCTGAATCGTCAAGCGAGCGACGGCAGCAGATTTCCATCGCAACGCACCATAAAAGGAATTTATGAAACGTTACCCTCTTTACGTTACTGCTCTCTGAACCACAGAGACGGATTATACCGCCCCCTGCTGCTGACTGAGTGAGCTGCATGTGATGAGTTCTGTCCTCGGTTTGTTAATCTGTTAATGATCAACCTCTGGCTTCAGTTTAAGATGAAACGGTTTGTTTCTCCAGGAGAGAACCCCCTTGCATTCCTGAGAACCCAGCCCCAGTTCCTGCACATGAGACAGGCGATCCAGCAGAACCCCGCTCTGCTCCCAGCCCTGCTCCAGCAGCTAGGTCGAGAGAACCCACAACTTTTACAGGTAATCCTGACTGCTTAATGTGAGCGATGGCGGCACCTCACCGCTCGGAGGGCTGTGAATGAGCTTCGCTCTTTTTGCTGCAGCAAATCAGCCAACATCAGGAGCTGTTCATCCAGATGCTGAACGAGCCGGTGGGAGAAGGGGGCGACGCGCCGGAGGTCGGTGAGATGGGGGCGGCGGGCGAGGAAGGAGCGCCTGTCAACTACATTCAGGTTACACCACAGGAGAAGGAAGCCATAGAAAGGGTGAGTGAGGTTAAAGTAGGGGTGCACCGATGGATCAGCCGACCGGCCCCGATTTCATTAATCTGATTGGTGGATCAGCCGATAGTGGGAGGGAAAACGATTCTTCCTCAGTCAGTTAAACTTCTCATTTAAAATTTAAACACATTTAAATCAGCGTTTTTTTCCACAAATGTATAGAGAGAAATCTGTTCCATTATTATTTCAAGCAAAAATCTGTTTTTTTTTGTTTTTTTTTTAATACCCTAAGAGAAACATTTTTCGAAATATAGTTATTTTGGATTTGTTTTTTTTTTTAACCTTTTTTTTTCTCTAAATTTCCCCTGAAGCCCAATATAAGCTCTCATCACCAATGAAAATGGTGATGTTGCTAATGTCGATGTAGACCAATAGAAATGCTTCTTTTCTGCTCACTCAGCCCGCCCCCAGAAGTGGAAAGAAGATCTGGAAAATGAAGGTTTCAAAAGAATGCAATTCATAAAATTCAATTTCAAAGAAATAAGAGAAAAATTGACATAAAAAAATCTATTTAGCAAAAACATTAACTATTTTGTAAGAAAAGAAAAATAAATATGAGGGGAAAAGACCTTTCCAAAGTTTTATTTCTGGATTGCCTTTTTTATTTCAATTAGCAAAATCTCGGTTTCCATTTACAAAACGTAGTCTGAAGTAAAAAGAAAAATATATAAAATTTTAAAGAAACTAGAATAATAACACGTGAAAAAAATTATTTGAAATGAAAATGTTAAATATTTCTTTATTAAAACATTTTTCAGTTTTAATTTCTGAATTGTAAATTTTCTTTTTTTTTGGATTTCAGTTTAGAAACATATATATATATTTTTTCACCTGCATTAATAATGGAATAAAATGAACTCCATACGTCTGTGATCTTATATACGTTTTGCTCAGTCGGTTTTGGTCCGTCAGGCTTTTTAAGGATCGGCGATCGGCCGACCGCTCCAATCGGTGCCCCCCAGTTTAACCAGTGGATGACCTTCTGGTTTGTTGCCAGCTGTTTTTAACCCCCCCTCCTCTGTGAACAGTTAAAAGCGTTGGGCTTCCCCGAGGCGCTGGTGATCCAAGCCTACTTCGCCTGCGAGAAGAACGAGAACCTGGCAGCCAACTTTCTCCTCAACCAGGGACTGGAAGACGACTGATCGGGAGCAGAGCGCTGCCCCTCCCCCCTTCTGCCCCACCCACCTCCACCGCTCCCCCTTCCTCAGCTCAGCATAAAGACTGCACCCCCGACCTTACTGTCCAAGCCCAGCTCGAAGCAGAGGGGAGGGGTGGCGGCGTGGGGGAGGGGGTGGGACGTTGGGGGCGCACTGGGATGGGGCGGAAGGGAGTTGGTGTTGGGGGGGGTTTAGGGGGGAGGGGGTAGGGAGGGAGGAAGTGTGGACGGGTGATGAAATCCACGTGAATTCCAATGGAATGAGTGGGGTCGGTTTAGGAAGATTATAATCTGATTTTAGACGCGCTTCGTGAACATTAGGGAGGGGGGCGGGTCTGCGTGTGTGAGAGGACGTGTCTGTGTATGCCTGTTCAAGATGGACGAAAACAAAACAAGCAAAGTGTCTGGCGTTCTCTAAGTCCGTTCATGCTGTAGCCTACGGAAGCACCGCCGCCGCGGCGGCGGCGATGACATCATCAGCGTGTGTAAACTGCTTTTCTGTGTCCCTCCTGTCAGCCTCACACATATGTCCAAAGACGGAGCCAGGGAGCGAAGAACCGACGACACGGCGGTCCATTAAAGCAGCCTTCAGAACGGAACCCCATCATCATCACCAACCGGGCCTTTCAGTTAATCGAAAATAAAACGTTTGTCGTGGTTCCAGATGACACTACCCCTTCAACGCCGGCTAGAAGCGCTTCCTGTGCTCCTCTCAGTGCTTTGGGTCGGTTCTGATCGGCTCAGCGAAGGCAGCCATCTTGTTCTAAACCGCCTCGGGTCCAAAAGAATCGGAAATCCTCTGTAAACAAATGGGTTCAGTCTGGTTCTGGTCCGGTTTCAGATTATCCTGTCAGCCTAGAAATGAAGATCACATTTATAATAAAAAGAAGGAAAAAAAACTGCAAATTAGCCAATTTATAAAATAAATAAAAATAGAAAATCAGGAAATTCTCTTCCTGCTTAAAAATAAGTTTATTTCAGTTAATTATAAAATTTTATTTTAATACAGAAACAAATTTAAAGTTGTTCATAATTCTGTTTTTTTTATTCATTGACATTAGATCTGTTAAAGTTTATTAGTTTGCTTCTTTTATTTAATAATTTTCCTCCTTTTCAGACAATCAGACACAAATGAGTAGAAAATAAATGTAATATTCAGCCCACAGACTGATTCACTCTTTGTTTTGATGACTTAACGCATCAAAACAAAGAAACAGAGAATCTGATTCGATTTTTTAACATTTAAGCTGCAGATTAAAGTAAATCCAGAACTTTTGGGTCTTATTGGAGCGACTATCCGGGTTATCAGTGTTAGCCAGCCTGAGTTCAGCTGATCTTAGTCTGCAGATTTAGTGAAAAGAAAAAAAGCTTATAAAGCAGCAACAGGTGTGGGAGGGGGTCAGGACCCCCCTTTAAACCAAAGAGGGTTTGATGGGTTTTTTTTAAACCTTGGTTCTGTTTACCGGCCCAGACTCAGTCTGAACCCGTAGATCTAAGTTGGCTCTATGCGGTTCTATTCTGTGATTCTGGACGGGTCGGCGCTAACCGTTTCTTCCTCGCCGAAGGTTTTTTCGATACGGGGCGTTTTCATCGCTGCTATTAAAATATTTGGACCGTAACCTTTGACCCGGGGATAAAAACGACATGCAGCTCCACCTGAGGAAGACCTGCTTGATCTGAACTTCAAACTGCCGATCAGAGAACCACACCTGAACCTCAGCGCTGCGCTTCCAGTAAACATTAAGGACTTAGTTTGGACTCAGAACAAATGCTTTTTTTTTTTTTTCTTTAGAAATACTCAATCTAGCATAAAATGTATTATTGTAGATAAATCAAAGCATGAAGGACGAGGCCCATGTTCAGTTTTATGGGGTTCATGAATGGATGCTATCGGTCAAAGGTAACAAACGCGATCTCTCTCTCTCTGTATGTGAAGGCAGTCTTTACTGATCGTTGTCCTACAGCATCAACATGATCTTAGACTATGCTGTGCTACATTAAATATCAGCAAACTTTCAGCTCCCTGACTCTGTGTGCCTTCACATCTTTGTCGCACATCCCACTGAACACACAGCCGCATCTCAATAAACCAGAAAATAATCCCACTTTGTTTTCCTCCGCTTCAGTTCTGAAAGGGAAGCACTATTTGGATTCATTATTTTTTTTTTTTTTTAGGATTGTCTCCCTGCTAATAGAAACCAATAGTTCAGTGACTTCGAACAATGATAACCAATAAAATTCATTTTGTTACAGAGATGTGGACCTACTATGTGCTTCATGCTGCCTCTACTCTGCTCCCCCTTCCATAGAGCAGGGTTGGTGGTTATCCAGAGTTCAGGGGTAACTTCCTGCAGAAATGGACTTTCTGTTTCAGGAAGCTTAAAATGATAAATTACTCCTTTAACCAACGGAGTAACTGCAAAGTTTTCACTTTTTAGCAGCGATCTGGTGTTTTCTACAGAAGAGGATTAGGGCCACTGAAAAAATAAAAAGTTAACTGATTACATTTTATTTCAGTATAATATGAGGAAAAAAGTCAGAATTCTGACCTTTTTTTCCACAGAATTTAATCCCAGAATTGTGGATCTTAATGTAGATGGGCACCATCTAGGAAGAGATGTGGGAGCACTCGGCTTCACTGACAAAGATGTGAGTTGTTTGGTAGGGCCAATAACTCATTGGTGGAAAATGATGGAACTTTTTACATGCCCGAGGGTCCCAGTGATGCTTTTTCATTAATGGAAGAGCAGAAGGTGATTAAAATAAGAGAGCTAATCTCTAAAACAGACACAGCTTTATGCTAGCATGTTTAGCTGTCAGAATTCAGAGAATTCATACTGAAATAAATAAAAAATAAGTTAACTGTTTTTTTTTTCCCAGTGGCCCTAGTTCTCTTCATCTTCTGTAGTTTTCTGTAAGAACCATTGAAGATATTTTCATCATTCAAAAGGAATATCTCTTAAATTTACTGTAAGATTGCAGTTTTTAATATATCAGTAAATTATTTTGGAGGAAATTTTTATAACAGGATGAAATATTAGCAACGTATAGATGAAGTGCTGCACGTGTTGCACCTGGACTCATATTCAATGCACAAGTAAAAAAAATTGTGACCGGATGTAAGAAATCAGAAAAAATATACCGTTAACCTTTTTTCTTTGCAAAAGAAAAAAAAAAAAAACAATCCACTGGACTTTGTTTGCAGACGTTTTGCTTCCCGTCCAGGATTTTTTTTTATTATTCAAAAAGACGTTAGATATGCAGGTGGGCAAATATTTATATAGATTTTTTTCTTTAAGTCTAGTTTTTTGCCCCCCCTTCATGTTTAGTGGCTAACAAATCAAAGTTTTAAATCTATTTCCAAATCCTTTATATGAATTTTGAAAGTTTAAATATTAAATGAATGACTAAATCTATTATTTAAATCATACGTCTAATCTGATGGACGTGGCAGTTAACGGCCCCTTTAACAATTTGAGGCCACGCCCCCAGTGCATAAAGCCGATCAAAGAAGGTCTGACTCCGCCCACCTCCCAGATCAGCTATGCATGGGGGATGTTGCCACAAGATAATGCTTTAATTAGATGCTGAGTTTATTTACTTGATTAATAAACCTACAGAGGCCTGAACCATGATGCAGGATTACTGGTTAGTAAAACAAACTTCAGGCTTAATCCTGACTTTCTGGTACACCAAGCTGGATTACTTCTTGGTGAGGCTAGTCGTCATGGTTACTTACACTACTCAGTGAAATACTTTGAAAATAAAAAAAATTCAAGCCAATAGTGTTACTGGAATCCAGGACAAGACTTTATTACTTTTGTAAGAAAGAAAAAAATCTGGATATTTTGATGGCAAAAAAATGTCAATGTAATAAGAAACGCCTACTGGCCCGAATATATTAAGAAAAATAAGTGTTTCTATAAGAAACTTCACGAAAAACACATTTTTTGGTACAACATAACCTTAGAGGCATTAATGCTGATACTGGCACATTGTTTAGTTTATAAACCTAAATATAATTGTTAACTAGGCTAATAAACTTTTGAACTTTTCAATTAGCTTTTTACCTTTTTCTTGACTTGTTGACTTTTCCTACTTAATTTCCAGTAGGTAATATATCATTCAAGGGCTCATCTAATTGGTCAAATGCCAAAATCAGATGTACAGCCATGTAGCAGTATCTTTGTTGAATTGGTGGATATAGATCTTGTGCTTCTAGACCTCACTGGGGGGGGGGGGGGGGGGGGGGTCCTTTTGTAAGGGGTATGCAAGTAATCAAAGATGTTCACTTGCCCTATAAAAGGTTAAAGGACTGATCTGAATCCTAGAAGACGCTCCACGCAGCAGCCAATCAGCTTCTAGGGAAATGATGACATCACCTTTCATTGAAGACCTGATTTAGTTCGAAGGGAAAAATGACTTAAAACATTACAATAAAAAAAGTTGAAATCCAAAAAACATTAAAACAAAATATCTTTTTGTCAAACTGAATAGTTTATCTGACTTTTTCTTCTTTTTGACACAGCAATCTTTTACTATGTTGTTTGTTTTCTGCTGTATAATGTCCTCATACACTGCTGGCATTAGCTTGTTTCTTTTAGAATTGATGCATGAAGCTAAATTAAAGAAAAACAAATAAAAATCAGCACTAATTGAGAGATCACTATGATGATATGAGTGATTCAGGTTTTCATGGGCTGATAAAGCTTAGATCCTGGAACCGTGCATTGGCTGTGTGACAGGAGTTGGGGCCCTCACTGTATCAAAGACTCCTATTTATTGTCATGCAAAGTTACGCAACCAGCAGCTTCGTGTAAACCATCAGGGATGCTGAACAGCTCAGGAAGTCTCCAGCTGTCCATCAAGTATCCAGCGCCGTCATCACCTTCTGGTCACCTGCTTGTTCACCATATAAAAAAAGAATTACAGTGGTGATAGAATGATTCTAGAGGATGTTTGGTGCTGGTCTTTAAGGTCTCTGAATAGGGTGTGTAACATTGGTTGGGCTGAAAATGGCATATTTGCTGTTCTATGAGCCCTAATGCAGCCTGGCTAAAAGCAATAGAATGAAACGACAGGTTTTCTTCTTTTTATGCTAAGCTCATGAATATTTAGATGAGCTGTGCGCTGATTGGTTGGTTTACAACGAGCGAAGCTGCTAATCAAAGACGCATCATAGCAACAAGCACTCACTCACTGAAACATCAAATCGTTGATATGGTAGGGTGACCAGACGTCCTCTTTTTTCCCCAGACATGTCCTACTTTTCATACCAAAAAAATGTCGGGGGGTGGTGGGATTTCAAAATTGTCCGGGATTTTGGTCGACTACAGCGCAGCACGTAGTCGAAACAGGTTGCCAGCGGGGGGCGGAGCGACCGAACCCGACCCATTGAATGTAGCCTGGACAACGGCAAGGCAGACAGGGGAGGGCATACCGGCCCGTTTTGTGGTGGAAGTTTAGAATTGTGAGATTTGCAGAGAAAGGAGGTGTGGATGGGGTTTGAACTTCTCTGTACGTCCATTTCACAGACTGAACTATCGTTATTCATCTATGACAATGGAAACTCTGTTTTGCTGTCTATGACCAGAGGTGGCAAAAGTACTCACTTTCCGTACTTGAGTAAAAGTACAGATACTTGTGTTAAAAAATACTCTGGTAAAAGTGGAAGTACTGATTAAACTTCTTTACTCAAGTAAAAGTAACAAAGTACAGGCTTGTAAAATTACTTAAAGTATAAAAGTAAAAGAAACCACTTTTTTCATGCCGTTGCCTACATTTTAAATGGATGTCTGCCGATAGGACTAGATCTCCATTGTGTTCATTTTCAATCATCTTGTCGTCCATACTACTATGCTAACGCCACCGCCACCAAGCTGCAATGATTTCCCGCGAA